TTAATACAAAGTTCATTTCTGAGACTTTGAATTACCCCCTGCCACCCACCCTGTCGTAATGTGAGTACAACTCAGATTCTGCCTGTACAGGATTTGAGATTTTCACAGCTGAGAGTCTGAAGAATGCTGTCTTCTGTCTGCGTGCAACTCTCTACACGTGACCAGAACGTTCCTGTATAGTCGGCGCAGTAGTTTTTGGCCGGTGGAATTTTCAAGGGGAAGGCTAGGAGCGAGTCTCTTTTGCGATAGTATAATGCTGACTGCACCGAGGAGCTTGTGTGACTGAACGCTCAAACAAAAGAAATATGCTGACCGTGCCACCTTAGGTACACAGAGTAGGCCCGCCCGCCAGCTCCGCTAGCTTCTCCACAGTACATTTTAAGCTACCTATACACACACACAGGATATGTTTTATCACACGAACGCGTTCCACTCACAAATCGTAGAGTAAGCACTTGTAAAGGTAAATGACAGAACATGTACGAGTTAATAAATCACCTGATAGTCGCAAGTGGTGTGTGATATTGTACCTGAGTCCGTTCACCGATAAGACAGCGAGTGTTTGTTCGGAAACTTTTAATATTGAGTTAAATTCGAAATTGGTCGAAAGAATTTTTAACTGAACGTGCATACAAAGAATATTCTGCTGGTATAGATTTACTCACAGCCGTATCCTTTTTTATGTAATGTGAGACTTCAATAAAGAAAGCAAGTGATCAGATATTTCGCTTCCTATAAATTTTTAGAACGCAAACATTGGCGTTTGTTTCACCGCTCATGCGCGCTAGCCCTAAAGGTAGCATGACTCAGTTTTGCTAGTCTGTCTGTACTTACGAATATATTTTAAGTCGTACAAGCGTCATAAGTTTTTCGAGAACCACGTGTTGGTAAACATCAGCGTTTTATTTCTTGGCCTGGCCAACTGCTGTATGGTAAAGCACATATTTTTTTACCATTGCAGTATCAGTGAAGTGCACCTGATATGTTTGTTCTGCGTCATAATGAGTTCGAAAATAACATTCATCTGTAAACACGCTGCAGTGTTGAATGCATGATGATTGTTACGTAAAGAATTGACTGCGTCAAAATACCGATTTGTCGCGGGGTACAGTAGATTGAAATTCGTCTATAACACTGACAAAATATTTGCAGTAGTCGGGGTGAACATGTGCGTGCATGAGACATCCAATAGAATTCAAAAATCAACGCAATGAGAGAGCCATAGTGTATACATCATTTCCCAACGGCAATACTTTGCACCTCCCTGGTACAGTTCCGATGTAATTGCCCCTAGAAACGTTTCCTTTGTTGTTGGAGTCGCATTGTATTTAATAATATCGGGTTGTTATCAGTGGCCCAACGAATATGCAAAATTTTGCATGAACTGTGAAATGCTGAAAGTACGAGAATGCGATGATTTGTCTAGTTAAGAACTGAGAATCATCCTATGTTCCATTTCCGCTTATTAGAACGGTTGTGCGCCTGCGCAGATAGGTACTTTTGTTTGAAGGTCGATCTAATTTCCGCTCAAACTTGGGTTATGTGACTTTGAGACACGCTGGAGTATTATTAGGACGATCGAATCAAGGCTGATGAGATGGGTGGGGCATATAACACACTTGGAAGAGAAGGGAAGTTTATGCAAGATTTTGGTCCGAAATCATAAAGTGAAGACCTGCGAGTATATGGGAGGATAATATCAGACAAAAATAGGTCTTAAAGAAATAGGGTGTGAGGGTATGGACTGGATTGGATTAATTTTTAAGAAAATTAATTAATACCTTTTCCTTAGGTAGGCTATTTTTGAGAAATGGAGTGCGTCAAAACAATGTTTTAGAAAATGTCTTGATGCGAGGACACGGTAAAAATCTGTTCGTCATTTGTTTCATTTCGCTTTTTTATATGAACGCTTTGATATCACCCTAATCATAGGGTAATAAGTACCTCCTAAACGGGAACATTTGTAGGGGAAAAGGTGTGAACTTTTTCGTAGAAAGTGTTGTTAGCATTTAAGTGTTACTTTATGAAACAGGTTCTTGGTCAATGTTATTATAACTGTTCAGGCAGCGTCCGATACGTAACATTGATTGAATTCAGTACTGAAATCGTGTTCGCACGTTGATGTGCTTTTCTGCACAGCAGGTACAACAGCCAACATACATGACCTTGGTTAATTAAGTCAGGGTCCTGACATACCAAGGTGTTTCACGTATCTGCCGCCGCAGCAGCACTGTTGGTCTAATTTCCTTTCACTCTTCTTGCGTTAACAAGAGCTGAAAGGCTTGCTCATTAGATTACAGAGTTTTCAGATGCGTTTTTTTGTAATTTTGCATCAGTAATTTTTACTGAGTTTTGTTTATTGCAGAAGTAATCATACTACTACTCCTCGAATTGTTCTGTGTCGCAATAACGATCTTAGAACCACAGGCAGTTTATTCTTCCAAAGTTTGTTATAGTTATTTTTCCCCAAGTTTCTGCAGGAAATGTTGAGACAGACCAGACGTAAATAATTCATGACCGCATCCTTCCACATCCTCCTCAGTGCTTCGTTCTAATTTATCCTACGTGCACTCTATATAACATGCAGCTGAGAAAATATCGTTAAATAAACTTAATATGTAACATTGCAGGATAATTAACTTGTATTGTTTAGGTTAGGTTTAACAGTTGTTAAAACGTTTCTTTGTGAAAATGTTATTCTTCCTAGTCAAGAAATTCCCCGTTTTCTATGGAAACTGAAGCTTCTATAGTCTTTGCAAAAGGCTGTTACTGGTTTCTGCCTTGAGCCACACGAATTTAATTCTAACCTAACCTACCTTAAACTCGAAATAGCCTTTCCGCTGTTTGGCACCTGTGTGTTTCAGAACATTTTTGCCAGTCCTCTGAATACGGTGGTTTGACAGTTAAGACGCTAGTGACGCACATCAGTCTATTACGTGGCTTAAAATGCGCTAGACATTACGTCGGTGTACCCTAGGTGGCGCTGGTCGCGTGCGTTATTTTGTTCAGGAGGGGAACAGGAAGGAATGGACGAGCCTGACCGCTGTATAGGTGGATCCGTACCACGTGGAGCCTTTTTAAAAATATTGCGTGGAATAAATAAATGGCATGGAAGATGGACAGACAGAATAATTTTCATTTTTCATCTGTGGCGCCTGTAAACCGAACAACGCAACCGGAAACGAAAATTTTGTTGTTTATCCTATTGATAAGTATTTCTTGGGAAGTTAAGCAAATTTACGTGATATGATTTTTTTTTTCTAGCAAATAGAGGAGGACGTAAGAAGAGAATGTTTTCGTTGAATAACTTATTATTTACTTCTGTCAACTTTAAAAATGCAAAACTTTAAATGCAGTCAAATACACGAGACAACCTTCGCTTGTGTTAAGTTTTGCATTTGTACATCCTTAACATTTTAAATTTTTAATAAATTTTAACAATAACATTTTCTTTTGCTAATATTAAATGAAGTACATACGTGATGATGACTGTACAGGAAATATGCGGTGTAGCAATGAGTCTTAAAGAAAAAGACGGGCATTGCGTAATGAATGAAAAGTATCGTGGAAATTTAAATTTAATTAAAAGTGTAATAGAAGTCCGTATTAAATTTTTATACTGTATGCCATCATGTCCAAAGTTTATTTCATTATCTTTCAATTCAGTTATTCACATCTTTCCTTGAACATTCAGATTTCGAAATGAGATGGAATGTATTGACCAGCTGTGCATGCCTAATTATCTTACAAAGCCTCACACCGCGTAGTTTTGAGTACACACAATCATTTCATGTACGAACAACCTTTATTGCACATGCCACGACAAATCGACACTGATGATGACCTTGCGAGGGCCGAAAGTCGTGGAGACTTGTGTAATAAAACTTGTTGCTATGTGAAGTTCCTGTTTACTAATTATTACCTTGCTTGTTATCTTGTTCACAAAAATAGTCCCGAGTCATCTTCGTTTATTTTACATCCAAAATAAATTGCTCAAGTGCTCATAGAACCGTAAATAGGTCTCTTCATGTAAAGTATCCGTTATTTGTGTCCGATTTTAACCAAAATTGAAGCTAATCTACAAATTTTTAGTACTCCTCAATATCATATTTCTTGAAAATCTCTTTGGTGATTCTCGAGTTATATGCGAACACAGACCTGGCGAAGCAAACAGATGCATTTTTACAAAAAATTTGTATTGCGACAGATGTGTGGTGGCTTAGAACGGAGATCAATACCGACGAAACTGACCGAGTCGATCGGACTTTTGAACTTGTGTACAGATCGAAGTTTCTAGGTCACTAGTATTATAAATAAGGGATGAACAAAACATGGCCCTCGAAGAAATTCAGTCAGTCTTGCGGCGAAGCTCGGGTGTTATTAATGATATAACCTTTTATAAATGCCTACTTTTATATACTGGGGATACTGGGAACGACCCGTTCTTCAAGTTCCTGAGCACTTCGGGTCCCAACTTTTCGTTGGCTCGATCTATAGACATTTTGGTAGGACTCCTTGGATGAGGGATCGGCCCGTCGCAAGGCCTCTACTTGTACCCAGGACAGCACAACACAGAAAAACGCGGAGAGACATCTATAGCTTGAGTGGGATTCGAACCCACGGTCCCAGCGACCAAGCGGCACAGGGCCCACGCCTCAGACCGCGCTGCCACAGCGGACCCCTACTTTTATATAGTGCAGAGAAATCCAAGAAAGAATAAGTAAATAAATATAGAGATCTTTTCCTACACATAGTATTTCTTGGCTTGAAATTGTTTGTCATATCGTTTATGTTCCTATAAAATAGGCGTTTTTGTTGTCTTCCGCCTCATAACTTCCGGTTCTTCGTCGAACAATGGCTGTCTTCTCTCTGTTTTCTTCGTCCCCGATGTGCTTTCTGCTGGTCATACTGTGCCCACCCTGAGGAGTTGCCCCGTGTGAGTGCATTCGTGGATGCAGTGTTCTGCTTAGAATATTTTCTACTAGATGCACTTTTTATAGGTAACACAGTCTTCATACAAGGAGCAGCGGCAACTCCACTGGAGTTGGTGAAAGAAATGACTGATTATGGCAAAAGTTCGGGCCTCAAGAAAGTGATGGTGTGTCACATGCACACTGAGGGAGTGGCAGGATACACAGAACCTGATTGTGAAGGTAAGCGCAAGTTACATTCTTCGGTCATGAGTCCAGTCACGTGAATTCCCTTTAAGACGAGAACAAAGATTTATGATGTCACCTGCCGTACTCTATAAGCCTTATTCAATGTGAGAAGGCTAGAAGGAACTTTAAACTGTGAATCACACAATTTTGTTGTCCATTTATATGCAAAGTTTCTGCTAACATATATTCTTCTTCAAGGCGCTTACAGCTGCTGGGAGCTTTGTCCAGCTGGAGACTTTACAGACTTTCAAACGTGTTAGACGTGTGGTAGGACTTCTTGAATGAGATGTCGGCCCATTGCGCAGCCTTTATACAGGACTGCTCAACGCAAAAATTCAAACATATATCCACTTCTTGAGTGGGATTTGGACACACAATCCTAGAATTTGTGTGGTCAAGACCCACATCTTAGACCATGTGACCTCTATGATCGGCTAACACAACATAAAATTTATCGGGCATAACCTCGATAGTGGTTAGACAACACAAAATGTGTGATGTCTCTTCACACCAAGTTTTACATATCTGGCTTGAATGATTCATTGTTAATGATAAAAGGTATCTGTCGTTGTTATCAGTACATTTCATTATATACTAGAAAATTAAATATTCTGATCAGAATCTTCTTTCCTTCCTCTCATAATGTGGCCTGACTCATAACATCTAGATACGTACAATATTAGCCTCGATACATATATGAGTTAAGCTGGTTCAGTCCATTAAAGGGAGATGAAATGTGATTTATAGTAACATTAGTTCACAGTATGTGTTCAGATATAGTTCACACTTCACTCTGCATGCCACACTTTGGTCTTTTTAATATCATCCCCTCATCTGTGCCTGTCTTTTGAGTGGCTTCTTCCCTTAAGGCATTCCAACCATTGTATGTATTTCTCATTTCCCTTTGCATGTTATATACGCCATTAAATCCTCCTCCTTGATTTTATCATCCCAAAATTTTGATGGTGAGTGCAAATTATGAACCTTCTCACTATGAAATTCGTCTTGCACCCTCTTCAGGAGCACCCTCAATTCTTGTTCTTCCCTTAATGTGAGAGACCAAGTTTCAGATAATGGGTAAAATTGTAGTTTTGTATATTTTAATCTTTATATTCTTAAAAAATTTCAGTAAATCAAAAAATATTGCCTTTCCAGGAATTTTTAGGTCATGTTCCTTCTTTATGGCTGCGAATGTTCGTAAAGCTGTGGCTGAGGGTCGCTCTGACTGTGTACCTATTTTCCTGTCCGAGATACCATTACTCTTTCATCGGAAGATAATAAGGCCAGATGTCTCTCTTGTTCAAGTGAGTATGATAATATATCTCACATGTTTATGCCTCCGGATATAAATGTTATTTATATGCAACATTCTTATTTAGCAACCACTTAAATGATGTAAATAGGTAGTACCTTACAAGTTGCAGCATTGGGCTTTCTGTACTTTTATAGGATCCTGCGTTCAGTGCCTTAGTAGTAAACTACTTGCATCTTATTTACTTACCTGTTTTGTAAATTAAGTGAGTGGGTGGTTAAATTTAAATTGAATACAAATCAGACATGCTATTCAGCTATTCTGCTCTGTGATTAACGTTGGATTGCGCTTACATGTTTATTATTAAGTTGCACAGCTGTAAAAAATTAATAATATTGCATCGCTCTAAGAATTAATGGAACTTAATGGATCTAAGACTTATTTACACTTGGTATGTTACTGCATTTATTATAGGTATCTCCTCCAGACCAACATGGATTCTGCAGCCTTGGAACGAGTGTAGACTGTGTTCGTGCAGCACTTATGCATTCCAAAACAATTGTTGGTGAGAATGAAAGCATTTATGTCAAAGATTTTTATTAATTCTGTTGTTTAAATAGTAGTTGGACCAAAGTGTAATATGGAAATTATACACAAATGCCTTTAGAGTACCACACTTTTTACACCACCAATATTGGCATTAAAGTGGGGATGGTGGTAAATTAAAACTGTCTTCTTTTTTCACTCGAAATATTTCCAGCTTATTGCCAACTGACAGGTTTATCCTGTAAAAAGGAGAAGTATTTGGCAATATTATGCTGGCTTGCACTGGAATATTGTCTTTTGTAGGTATGAATCGCCTGTAATTAATTCTTCTCGGGCTACCAGCCGTGTCAGGTGGTTGAACTGAGTAACATCAGTACCCTGACGACAAGGACGAAGATGGTTCTCGAAATGTCAGTATTTTCTTAATTCAGCCACCTGACACCTGGCAGACCAAGAAAAGTGTTTAAGCTCAGTATTTTCTTAATTCAGCCACCTGATACCTGGCAGACCAAGAAAAGTGTTTGAGTATGTGTTTTAAATCAGTGGTATTCAACCTTTTTTGTTCACGTACCCCCAGATATAATTTCTCTTCAACTTTGTACCCCCAAAGTTGTTGGTGTATAATTCAAGTTATACATAGTATATAATCTACATCTAAAATAAATTAAATAAATTACATTAATGATTATTCAGTGTTTATCATAAAATAATACTTTTTTTAAATTTCACGTACCCCCTAAGATGTATTCGCGTACCCCCAGATATAAATTCTCTTTAACTTTGTACCCCCAAAGTTGTTGGTGTATAATTCAAGTTATAAATAGTTTATAATCTACATCTAAAATAAATTAAATAAATTACATTACTGATTATTCAGTGTTTATCATAAAATAATTT